CGTCAACTACCAGGCTCGTGAGTCCCGAAAGTGTAGCGCATGATTTTCTCGTTGAGTTGTGGCGTTTATCTTTCCCCCGCTGTATAGCGAGATCCGGCGCCGACAAACCGTCTGCTAGCGGGGTTTCCCCAACCAGGTATCTCCAATCAGCGGGGCACCTCCCCAGCCTGGACAAGCTTTAAGCTCCTGACCGTTCTCCCGGCATATGCGATAGTGTAGTGCATGTTAGTGTATGTGTGTGAAAGGGTGAAGATATGGCAAGGAAGAGAAAGCGCGCGGTCCGTGGCCCATTTGTTAAGGTACTGCTCCGCCTGGAATTGATCGAAGAAACCACGGAAAACTACCGATCAGAGCAGCCGACCGCTAGAATTCTCCTACAGTCAGCGTCTGAAGGAGAACAATAGCGGTTTCCGAAACTAATTAGATGCATTATACCAATAAAATTCCTTCATTTCGGAGCAAAGGCAGCCAGTCCATAAAAGGTAGAACCTAGTCACATATAAAAAGTTAAATTGTGTTTCCTGTTTTTTTTTAACGAACAATAAGGATCGTATTATATCGATAACATACTAAATTAACAATCAAATACATAATTCTCAGCTCACGACACAGATTGAATTATTGAAGATGAAAGTGCATCCCGTGAAGTTCCACGTGCAACGCGATATTCTGACTCGAGCCGCCGTCGGCCCCTGCGCCGAGCAGCGCGTCGCTCCGCGGGCGTGGGCGCGGGCGTGGGCGCGGGCGTGGGCGCGGGCGTGGGCGTGGGCGCGGGCGCGGGCGACGGAGTGGGGCCCAAGTACTTCTAGTCAAGCATTGCATTCAATGTGTCTACTATTAAGAGTTATTTGGGGTTATTCTCGTCACTATAAAATAGATATTTTATAAAAATGTGGGTTTACGCTTATATTATCTCCTTCTACCACTCGTCGTTCCAGCTTTTTTTCAGATGGAAGCAACCCCAATGTTCGATTCCTGCAGAAATTATAAATGACAACGTAATTCTTTGTCTATCACTACGTACTTTGCAATATGTGTCTAATCAACCTTATTCCCTAATACTATTGTTTCTCTCCTTCAACACCTCTTTCAAACACTCTTCAAACGTTTATGTCTAAGGGCACAGCATGTTTAGGTGTCCAAATCTCTCCATTCGAATGGTCGTCACACATTTGTAAAAAACTGCTAGTAGCTCAGGTACACTGCCATCACGTTGAACTGAAAAATACAAATAAAAGAATATTATTAAATATAACGTTGTGATACCACACAAACAATATATAGATTAAAATAATGAATGTTAAGTACTACATAAATATTATATTTTTATTTTGCCCCCCATTTTGTGGAAAATACGAATAGCGGGTAATATGTTAATATAATGTTAAATAGAGAATCTATACAAACTAAGGGAGAATGGAAATCAGAATGTTAAAACTGAATAACTGAACGCCATTAAGATTGTTAGAGTGAAATATTAATTATGATACTTTGTTATAAAAAATATAAAAGGATACAAATTGTGATTATTCGTCCCCAGAACTTCAAGTATAATTAATAAAGCAAACAGGTGTTAATTGTGTTACCACTTAGGATCTCACGATTTAATTAATTTTTAGGTGACAATGTTGAAGATAGAATATTGAAGATAGATATGTTTTTCCTTAATTGAATCTATTCTTCAAAAACCATTCTTTAATTACGGTCAGGTTTTATTTCTTAAAATATATGAGTAGTTTTAGTGTAATTTTGCGTGAAATATACGCAATTAAAAAAGAATTTTCTCAGTAACTGCTCCAATTTTTCAAAAATGTTTTTTTTTAAATAGAGCAAAATATGTTTTTAAAAATTTCACAGGCGCCATCTACAGTGTACTCCTTGCATTTTCGAAAATTGCAAAACAAAAGTAAAATATTTATGTTTACATGATACAAAAGTACAGTATTTATGTTTAATATGTTCTATAGTTTGTCCTGAATGAAATCTACTGAAAATCCGATATTTAAATAAGGTCGTGTACACTTTTTTTTTGAAAATATGAGTTGTTTGAGGGTAGAAATTTGATTTAAGTGAAGGAAATTTCTATAACATATTTTCTCAAAAAGGCTCTGTTTGTTCTTTCCTTTTTCGCGAATAGAAGAAGTAACGCATATAAAGAAGGCGCAGGTTCAACTTTTCATAAACTCTAAATTTTCGAAACCTGCATAAGCGCAAATAATACGAGAAAAATGTGTGCAGTTGCAGCACCCTTGGTAGTAATCACGAGGAGTGACGCGCATCATTTAATTTCTTCTGACTAGTGCTGCCAAGAAAAAAAACCTGTCCCGTTACAAAGAAAGTGTGAGCCCTACAGAAACGTACGCTAACATGTATAGATGAGTATTATTATTACTATGAAATAATAATCCATCGACATCGAACTGTAAAACAAACGTCTGTGGTTGGAGCATCAAAAATAAATATATCTATGCAGTACATTTTTTTTACAATCGTACTTTACATAAAAGTATTTAGCCTTGTTCCTATAACCACTGACGATTTTTTTAAGAATTCAATAAAAATTAAATAAATCAAATTACAGTTCTATTATAATTTTGAGTCTCTTGGGTTTCAGAGCTCCTCTTTTGTTTCATAGGCCCTTTAGTGATATTCCTGCTGCACTCCTTTCCTCTGGCTTTCTCCTGAGTACTTCAACCTGTGTCTAAAAGAATGTGAATATCATATAGTTAGAAGTAAGGGTTTGTGAACTTTTAACAATGTCATTTTTTGAATAGACTTTCGCAAATTTCTTACATGTAAATTTGTTTCATTTTTCAAATAGTCAGGAACATTGATCAGTTCAATAGGAACCTTGCACTGAGAGCTAATCCCTAATCTATATTATTGAATATGAAGTGGCCGTCTATGTTTTTAAAATAATTGTTTTTAAGCTAATGTGGTTATTTACATTTTATGTTTAGTTAACAAAATATGCTAATTTCATTAAAAATCCATGATTCCATGCAAAATATTTGATTATCTCTATGTTAATAGCACCCGTGCCATTAAAACTCCACCGTTCAATTAAAACTCCACACCTACCAATCGGAATTGAGAAAAGGAGCCAAATCGTTTAATTAAGAATCTGTAACACAGACGTAGCCCAAGTATTTCCTGGCGGTCATGAAACATGAACAAAAATTTACATCACTGATACGTACTTACAACTACTACAAATAACTACCACCTACAACCACTATAAATAACGAATGAATGAAAATAAATTAAACTAACTTAATGTTACGCTAGCTGACTGATCAATATAAAATATTTAACGTGAATCGTTTAAATGCTTTGCATGTAAAAATTTTAGTCTTAGGATTATAAAGGTAAAAATTGACACGTCATTTGTGTAGTTCTTAAAAGTACTCTATAGCAAAACTGTGCACAAGTGACTAGTCCCCCCCCCCAATATTTATTTATGTATTCCCTCTCATAGCTGTCTTTACTTTCCGTGGGAAGTAATGTTTGTGAATGACAGGTTCATCTAATATTTTATCCACAATCTTCTACTTGCAAACAAGCATGATGCAAGGCCCACTATCATAGATCTTTTTCAGAATCAATTCATCATCAAATGTGTGCCTCGGAAGGTATAGATGTGTGTGAATTTCTCAAATTATTCTTTTTAAATTATTCTGAAATGGAAATAAAATAATATTAAACTAACATTTGTACAAAGGGGTATAGTTGCACTGTAGGTAAATAAGTAGGAAAACTCGCTTCTAACGTCGCTCGTTGTCATGAATACATCACTCATCCAATTACACCACTCTTTATACACTCGGTTCGTTAATTACTATGTATCAAAACCTCTTCAATTTTTACAATGTATAAATATTGTCTCTACGATCTAATTTCGAAAACATCGTAATCGATTTTCAATGATCTTTACAGCTATACTTTGCATTGCTTTTTTCACGTCATTTTCTATTCTGTGAAGGATAATTCCGGCAGTTTAATTTAGAAGAATTAGAAAAAGATGGTTGAAATATTAGTTGTAATCGTATTTGATAAGAATTTTACATGACCTGTAAGCATTCTATTAAAAATTGCGGTCTGCTGCGCTCTACTAGTTTGTGTGTGTGAAGGTGATGCTAACAGAAATGGCACAATATGAGTAATTACAAATAGTTCGGAAGTATAAAAATTCAAAGCCAATCTGACTTTTAATGGATTCCGAATTGTAGCTTCTTCCTTGGAATGAGCATTCCTTTCATAATCCATAATTCATATCTCGATCAGGTTTTTGACGAGTTTCCCTGATCCATTGAGCAAATGACCCCTTGTTTTGCTTCTGGACGTAAATGTTGCTTCACTATGCGCACGTTTTGTTGAACTCTCCTTTTGTTTACAATGATAAGAGTACAGATAAGTGCGAGTTGCTATTTTGTTAGCAATGCAGAAAAATCACACCTGCAATTCGTGTTTCGATGCAAATAAGTTTTCTAAAACTCGGAAACATTGACTATTTTTCAAATACTGCTAATCTTGCGATTTTTAAAATTTACTTTTAAAATTTATTTTTATTTATTTTTGTTAAACTTTTACTCATTTTTCAACTATTTTTAGTTAAAATGACGGGAAGAGTTTCTGGAACTCAAGAAAACGTGCGCAGATAATCTTCTCCTCTCTACGTCACATACACTTTTTACTGTTTTTTTACTAAATAAATCTGAAATCTGAATCTGAATCCCCTCGGTTCTTGATCAATTCACCAAAATTCAAAATCTGATTGTGGTAAAAATGATGTCGATACATCGATGTTTCCTGACCTGCAAATTGTGCTTTACGAGCCATCTGTGTGTGATCTGATTTACTACAAAGAACACGCTGACACTGCCACCTAGGGAGAGTAAGTACAAACTTCTGGCGATATCCGCCTTTGCTCACCTCGGTCAAAATAACGTTAATCGACCCCCATCACGACAAGTGCATTACTCCGTATCTCGATATAAACAATGGGTGGTATTAATAAAAGCGAGCAATTACTGTAAGTAAATATTCGAGAACAAACTTTCCACATTTTGCGCAATGTACATTCTTATGAATAGTGTTACGCTCTCGCCAGAGTAATTGCTCTGAGTTGAGCAAATACATACTACACACAGATTTTATATACGAATTGTTTACTACTCTTTGGATATATAGAATTTCCGAGACTTTCCAACAAAGACGCTGTGTATTCTTTCAGCGCTTTAGTTAACAGGAGGCCGTGGAGAGATGAAGTGGGTGTTTGTTTGAAGTTGGAAGTTTGGTTTTGAGTATGTTTGTTGAAAGAAGATTGTAAGTAGAAATGGAATTGCAGAACGATGTAGAATTCGTAGACTTGCTTAAAGAATTCCCTGTGGTATTAAATAAAAGTCAGCTTCCGGAGTGCAGACGCCGCAAGGCGGAAGCAATCCGGAGTATACAGCAAGCGTGTGGCAAACAATTCACGGAGCAGCAGATTCAAAAGAAAATTTTTAACATGAAATCCAGAGTGAAATCGAAGACGGACCTGAGTAAAACAGGAAACAGGCCCATAATTCTTAAGGATTGGGAAAAGAAAATGTATGCACTGATGTATGGAGAGAGTAATCCCTCGTTGAATAGGTTACCAGGTAAGAAAATGAAAACAAGTTTCATGTTAGTTATTTATGCAGCATGGGCGTTATAAGGATTCTAATGATCGAGCGGCGACAAAACGCCCGAGAGCCTTTGGCCCAAGGTCATTAGAGCCAGTTAACGCTTGTGGTACATACATAATTTTATTTTTACCTTTATAACGATTTATTTATTTGTTACCTAGATGTTAACTTGACTCGGTTTGTCTTTTCAAAATTTCCTCTTCTAATTCCCTTCGTAAGGAAACTTGTAGCATTATTCATCTGTTTTCATATTTCCCTCGTAACCACGGACCTCTCGATCCAATTATGTTAAGTAGCGTTTATCGAACTCCGAATCGAAGGCAATAAGAAGCTATAACGTATCAGTAAAAAGTATGTTAATTTCAGCATCAATGAAGTGAAGTTTTGCATGCATGCAGATATATATTTATCCACAGGAGCTGTTTCTTCTGGTGTCAGTGTTGTAGAAGAAACTAAAACTGAAGCTGAAGAAGCCGCAAGTCCACCGACTACGAGTACTCCAACCAGCAGTGCCGTATACCAAGAAAGGCCACAGCCCATCACTGCTGTAAGGAATAGGAAAGAAGAAAGTGATGAAACCCGACACTTATCTTTAGAAGAACTGCAAAGAATTGTACTTTTAGAACAGTTGGAAGTGTTCAAATTAAAAAAGGAGAAATTACTATGGGAAAAACAAATGAGAGAAAGAACTGGGTGTGAATTACATTTTGAAAATTCTGAATAAAGTATACTTACTCTTAAATTATGAATTGTTTACAATTTCGTTTCTCCTCTGCTGCCGTTGAGCACTGGTGTTCATGCTCTCATGAAGTTCCATTACAGACGATTCTTATTCAATTTTCATGTCCTCAAAACCCTCATCCTTGGGTATTTTTTCTATATTAAGTTAAACAAAGCAACTTAGAATAGTTTGAGAGATTCCTTTCATTGGTGCATTGTAGACGTACCTAACATGTAAAAGAATGTTTATCGTGACATACGTGTTAGAAATGTATGTTGGGACATCAGCCGCCACTGGGCTGTGTAACTCGTTGTGCGGAGGCAACCCACGGGCCGTAGGCAAAAACGAAATGCAGAAAGAGAGTGAGAAAATCAGATCCCGCATTGGGTCATTTTTGTCCCTTTTTGCCATTTTTCAATTTTGGGGTCATTGTTTTGGACGTTCGCGTCAGTTTTATGCATTTCCTTTTTTTACTAAACGTTTCATGAATTTAGAGTGACTCACTAAAACAGATTTTATTGTATCATCAGTTCATAATGAAATTTACTACTGCTATTGACTCTTGTTCTTCGAACTTTCAAAATTACACGGATGTTCGGTTACTTCCTCAACCTTTCAAAGCTAAGGATTGCATTTCCTCCTAAAATGAAAACTTTATATTAAACTTAATTTTACATACATTACACATAAATTGTATTTAAAATTGTAAAATTCATTGAATGAGTAAACATTTTCCTACAATTTTTAAATACTTTTTTAATGTGCTAATTTCCCCTTTTAATTTTTAGATCATTTTCCTCTTATTTTAAATTCTTTTTATAAGTAATTTTCAAAGAATTATAGGTCATCTGAACCGAGCCCTGATTATTACTATTACTGATGACAATTTCGGTATGTTGGCAACCCTAAACATAAATATCATATATTATTTTTAGTTACGTAAACATCCCATTTCCGGATAAACTATTATTATTATTATTATTATTATTATTAATCATTATTATTACTAGCAGTAGTAGCTTAGTAGAAGTTGTAGCAACTTGCTGAATGACACTGCACAAGGCAGATTATAAATCTCGAGACACTGGACTCCCTCTAGACACTATCTCAGCAAATAAGATGTTGCTTGAAAACTGGAAGTATCCGATGACTGCACGTGTAACTTACATGTTATGCTACATAAATTATGCGTTATATGCTACATAAATAATATTTTCAAAAATACATATTTTGAAAAGCCCACGTCAAGCACAATCTAGCGGAGACGTAACTAACCCGTTGTGGCGTGGCGCTGCCATGGAAGCGAGGACGCAGCGTATCTTTTGAGCGCAATGTTGAGATTGTGCAGTTGAAATTGCATTTTCGTTTTTCATAGAGAGTTTCTTTCAATGACGGCTCGTATTTAGGTTGCACAGATGCACAAACCTCAGATCATCAAAAATATTCTTTTAATACGCTAGGAATATACTTTTTCCATTCATGTCTTCCAATATTCAAGATATTGTAGCAATATCGACCAATAAGAAATATTTTTTGGTGGCTGGTGCCCCAACAGACTGAAGGTTGCACCTCCATCGAATGACGGAAATGTAATTTCCAAAATTCAAAACCCAAATATACAATAAAATGTGAGGAATTCAAGTAAATTAATTACTTACATCATTTTATGCGTGTCCGTATACTTCCGCGCACGTGGTTCTGGCGTTGATGTCCACTGGGCACTTAAGTTTTTATATTAGTTCCGCACTGAGACAATTCACGGTAATATAATTCGGTAATAATATATAACTTGTTTTCGAAAATACGGTGATCGACTCCAGCACATTGCAACAGGCCCTATTGTTTCGACACTTTTACACAAATAAAATTACTTATTTCGAAAATTTAGTACCCTGCTATATTTTGTAATCATGAAAGACCCTTCCACCCACACGCTCGTATTCCCACCAGCGCTCTCCGACTGAAACTGGAGGCTGCTGCAAGCGGAAATATGCATCCACCGTGAGCGACGAAAAGGTCTTCCTTCCAGAACAGACAACTTAGCACCAATAATTCAAGTGTAGGGAGACCGGTCGGGAGCTTAGAGCTTGTCCCGGTTTGGCCGGTGCCCCGCTGTGGGAGATACCTGGTTAGGGAAACCCCGCCTGCTGACAGTAGGTCGGCGCCGGATCTCGTCATGCAGCGGAGGAAGATCAACGCCACCTCTCGAGGGGGGAAACATGTACTACACTTTTGGAACTAATGACCTCATTGGTTAATGCACCCGTAATCACTAGCAACCAACCAATCATGAGTCCTTTGTGTAAAGTTCGCCGTTCTGGAAGAAATTTCATCTTTTTAACTGGTCTTTCACATGATGCCGGCATTCGCAGGTATCACGAGCTTCGTGAATGTGTGATTGAGTGAACTACGTAGTCATGAATAAGTCTAAAGATCTCGAGAGGTAGCTACTGTGTTTGTGGTGATTGTTGTTGATGCTGCCGACAAATCATAATTCTCTTGAAGTAAGAATCTCTACCGATTTAAGAGAGATTACCTAAAAAATTACAGATTTTTCATTATTACAATATATAACCGGGTAGCTAAATTTCGAAATAAAATTATTTTATTTCGGTTTCATCACTAGTGGTAGTATTAACCAGTAAGATCGTGAAATGAACTAGTGTAAATTTGTCCGAGAATCGTGCTTGTTGCAAAGTGCTGGAATGGATATTTTCGAAGCCTAGTTCGTTTTGTTTTGAATGAATTCTATTAGCGACAATTATCTCAATGTATTACTAATACAAAAAGTTGAGTGCCCTCTGGAAACAAACAATGTACGCGGGAGGTGAACGTTCCAGATATCGACACCAGGCATAAAATTATGTAAGTAATGTCTGAATATAGGCTTTTATTAAACTTTCTTTTAATTACATGTTTTGCTTGCATATTATTACATATAAGTGATCTGAATTTTGGAAATTACATTTCGTCATTCGATGGAGCCACAACTTACAACCAGCTTGGGGCACCATCCGTAATTGGTGGAGAAAAGAGGTTTCCTCTACACTTGTGAATTGACATGCAATTTTCAGAATGATTTTTCGGTGATCATAGTGAACACGGCAGGGTAAGGCAGGTAGGAGCGGAGTCAGGCGAGGAGTGTAGAAAAGAGCAGTGTGGATTTGGGCAGTTCTTAACTTAAGGCTGGGCAAGCGGCGCGGGAATTCTCTATGGGCAGAATTCATTCCTTTCCCAGTTTGAGTAGAAAAATATGAGGCTGAAGTGCAGAACAGGAATCGGCTCACTAGAAATTCCGACAGTAAACATTATCCGAAATTGAACAAATTTCTGAGATAGTGGTAAATGATCGATTTTATCCTCTTCTACAGTAGTATATGAAGTATAATAAAATGTGTTTTGTTCTTATGGACTTATCAAATAAGCATATGATGTTATTGTCTACGGCATGTGTTCTCTATGAAGTGATTTAATGACAGTGTTCTGCCAACCACACAAGTAATACGAACTTAAGTTTTTTCACCAATGAAGACAATGAATATGAAGCACCTATGCATCTTGTGTGCGGTACACTTTAATTGGTGTCAATGTATCATGAATGACAGATGTGAATAAACAATCTGCAATTTTGTGAAGTATTACCCAGTCATACCAGCACAGATGATTAAAATGATGAAAGCATATTTCACAGAATTTCTGAAATCGATTTAAAATAATTCTGTAAACATAACCATTGTAGATTTGAGCGTTTGTTGTTCAGATCTCCCAATTGTGCTGACCTCTCAGGTGAAGAGCACTAACATGTTGTCAAATACATTGTAGAGGCATTCCTAATGGGGTGTTGAGAATAATAGAATTGACTTGGAAAATGCTCTAATAATAATAATACAAAAATAGCAAAGACATGCATGAAGAAAAAGTTAAAAGCCATGAAGACTGTAAGCCCACAGTTAAAACTCTCAATCCAAATAAGGCACAAAGTTATAAATTGACACTCATTAGAAAATCATTAATTTGAGAACATTCTTCTCAAGCCCAAAATTACTTAAGTAATTATAACTACAAAATATAAGCATTGTGATGTAAGAAGGTCCAACAAACATAAATAAAAGTCTTAGATATTGCCTTTATTGCACTGTTAATAAGACTTAATGCTTGCTTTAATGGCTTAAGGGTGAAATCATAAAAGACATTTTCAACAATAATTTATTTGCACTTTTATACAAAATACAATAAAGTATGAAAAAAATTTAATTTACAAAATTGTAGTGACGTTCTCATGTACAACATGGAATGAAGAAAAGCAGTGATTTTTTTTTGGTTAAACTCTTCCAAATCAGCTAATTGTTTACAATTTAAATCTGATCTCATCATTTGTCATGCTCCATGAAAGTTAAAAAAATACTTTATTCTGGGCATGCTTTACAAAAACATACACAGTAAACCGTCAACAAGAATACCAAGGGACTAAAATTATCTGTGTTCTTGTTATAAAAATTAGTGTTATTACTTACTTCTTTGGTGGAACCCAAATTTGTTTATTTGATGACGAATTTTGTGCTAAGTGAGTTCATGCTAATGAGGTTTTACTGTATTTTCTTTCAATCACAAAGCAAGTTCTTATAATTGAATTTACTAATAATATCTGTATAACCAAAAGCTGAAATTATTAATTTATTCAGTCTTATATAAGCCAAAAATGAATTCAGTAATATCTCTTATTGAAGTAAAAATTCTTATATTTTTATTTCAATTAAGTTCAAAAATTTCAGTACTTAATTATTTTTTGTTTTCATGAGGACCCGCTTGTTACTAAAACGGGATAATAGCCATAGAAGTTTAAAAAAATTACAGCTGGGCATTTGTATATAGAATTATTTCAGAAATATTAATAATAAACACAAAATATTACATTTCTCATGATTGTATTTAATAAATGAAAATACAAAATGCAGATTAAAATTATAGATATTTGTTTTTATGTTTTTGAATTATTTCTTGCTTCGCATATACTCATTCAAATATTCCATCACCCACGGTTTATCAGATGGATTGTAGCGAGTCAGAGGCGCATCATACGGTAGAGGGAATGGTGGTGTTTTATCATCGCTTTTGCCTACTGAGAAAACTGGTTTGTTGATCTGCAAAACAAAAAGTGTATTTTAATAATGAAAAGTATAAAAGATATCACAAATCTTATGCATTGAACAGTAGTTTTCCAGCGCAAATAAACAATTCGAAATTGTGACTCATCACATTCATCATCAAAATTGTGACTATCACATTTCTGGTTATATTTGTACTATTTTATTCAATGAAAAGTGTTACACTATCAAAAGTATTGATTTTCTCTTGAATATTATATAGATAAAATATATTTTTCAGAAGTGCCAAATATACATACCAGAATTTCTGGAAGAAATAAAACTCCGGCTTCGTAAGACATCATAAAAACACCAGTCCCGCTGGTTTTGGTTTTCTTGTTCATACCCCAAGCAGCTTTAGATAAATTGGCACTGCTCAAATGAAACCAAGCTAGCCGACTACCACACGGAGACATTCGAGTGTAAGTCTTGATATGTGGCACAGCTTTGGTTCGAAACCGAACATCACTTTTCCACTGACTAAACAATAAATAGCAGAAATTTACAGTTAATAAAAGAATTACTACATGTAATAATTTGTGTACATATGTTTTAGGATTAGAAATCTTTCAATTCTTATTAACAGTACACTTTGCCCAAAACAATTTGTCCAAAACTTTTTTAAAATTACAATGCTTTTTCTTTTTTTGGTGACATCTGCCCAAATGTTGATCTGTATTACTTAATAAATTACAGTAATTTATAAAATGAAATGCTAAAATCTGGTTTTCATCCTTATCAGATCAAATGGCAGAATGGAGAAGGGGACTGGATAAGACACTACCTTCAGGGAACTCTAGAAATTTTACATCACATTGCACTGCTCCACAAGATGTTTGGACCGAAATGAATTAATATACTTCTCTTTTGTTTATTAGTATTAATTGTGCATAATATTATGAACACTTACTACAGAAACGAAGTAAACCATGTTTGTTTTGAATGAGTGTGCATTGAATAGGGCAAACAATCTCCACCCAAGGCTCCATCCACACTGTCATACACGTTTTGTTTGCTAGGATATATCTGAAATCCCACCAAAAAAATTCAGATTGTGCCAAAAAATTATCATCATAAAATCATCTGACCATCATAAAATTAAGTGCCAGAACCCTTGGAATAAGATCATATCGAATGAATGGAAGGAAAAATACATTTTTATTTATTTAATGCAATTGAAGGGCATCATTATTCAAACATGTCTTCATTCTGAACAACGCAAATTGTCTAATAGAGCATTAAAATATTGTTTTGCAATTGAATTCTCATGCATGTTACAACATCATATCTGGCTCATTATTAGAGCCCAGAAGTTTGGCAAAATACCTTTCTAATATTGATAAGATTTATGACTTATCAAATTGACTAGTATCAATTTACTTGTACTTCTGGTGTTTTAGTAGATTTTCATTTTGCCTTTTTTGTACATTTTAGCTTCTGATGCCTAATTTTGGCATTTTGCCTTTTTGTGCCTTTTTCATAATTATTATCCCTTTTCTCCCTCCTGGCACCAATCTCTATTGAGATGGAAACATTCCTGCGAGCCTAGACAACATGAAGGCACGGCCGTGTATTGTCTTTCTATTGACGCTGGTACTTCAGTGTCAGATTGTGTTAAAAATGTAAAAGGGAAAGGAATATAATACCAGTGAAGGTTTTTGATATTTTTCATTGTTACTGACAGACTTGTTCGATCATGAGACATCGCATCCCTCGGATCTCTTTTGAGGACACAGCTGTCTGTACATGATATACCCTTCACAGTTCCTTCTTGTTCTTTCTTTCCTTCTGGTGATTACCCAAGTGTAAAGAACAAAATCTATAATTGCGTTTTTACTGATACCTTTTCAAGATTCAAAAGGGATTCTACAATAGCATTTCGTAGAAAGTGTTGCGAGTAAAATAAATTCATAGTTGTCTTACCGGATGGTAATGTGCAATTAAGATTACATAGAAAAGGTAATTTCCTTCCACGTAAGTGCTAATGTAAATTTTAGAGTTAGGATGAAACTGTGTTTCATTTTCATTAATAATTTTTTACAATAATTCTTTTGAACTGGTGAATTTTCATTGTTTCCAGAATTTTTAACCCCCTACTTTAGCCAAAATAAATGTCTTTTTATGCATGCCTATTTTGGTAAAAATAAATGCCTTTTTGCCTGCTTATTTTAGATATAAAAAGTGCCTGAACCTTCAAGCTCTGCTCATCATAAAACATTTATGATCATTTGTATGTAAAATCAACAAAAACCGAGGAGAATTGTTTTGATTACAACTTTTTCTGTGATTTTCACTCTTTGTGGTGTAGGTAGTACATGATATTCGATGGTCCCAATTAGTTCAAATAATAAATGTTCTACTGTTGTTATTAAACCTGGTCCTCCACAAACTTATCACACCAGTTTAGGCAGTCCTTCAAATAATTCAACAGAAAAGTGGAGCTATAAACAAATAAACAAGATATGTTTATTAATACTTTAGAAAAAAATTCTGATTAAAAATTGTATGAAATTTACAAAAAATTGCATAAAATAAATAAACTATCAAGTAGAAGATTATTTGGATTCTCATTCAATCAAAAGACTTGCAAAAATTCACTTAGAAGTTAAATTTCAACTTTATAGATGAAAGAGAAATGTTATCTCCAATTTTTATAAATAACTATTAAGTACTGTGTAATTTTAAAATTGAACTTACCACTTTGAAAGGAGGTAAACCTTGAATCATTGATGTTCCCTTTCCAAGAGTCATACTAGCTCTGAGTTCATCCAACATCCATGCTTCTGGATGAGTGCCCAAGCTGCCAATAGATGAACACTGTGCCACTACAGACCATGTTGGATCAACCCCCACAGCATGCTTTTTAAGATGCGCAGCAAGTCGTCTGTGTCCCCAACGATCCATATCCGGGCCACGATGTGTTCCAGGCACTGTGCCAATGAAGCATACTCTGTGAATCATAATTGAATCAACTCATTGTTCATCTCTGAAAGGAAAAGTAAACCAGAACGAATAACTCCAACGAAAATTGATTTCAGATGTACCTTATTTCAGAAAAGTCAGCCTGACGAACTATGCTCACCCACTCCTGGAGTTCAGGAATTTGATACGCACAAAGATAACGCAGTAAATCGGTCTTGAATTCAGTAGGTGAATCGCCGGCTTTTGTATCAGCCTCTTCAGGAAGTTCAGGACAGGCAGGACTAATCCACAACCTGATACACACATTATGCTGTTGTAAGCATGAAATCCATAAATATTCAGAAGGAAAAATAAAGCACATAATAACAGTCATCAGTTCTTTCAAAAGGTTCTTCAGGATTCTCATGCCTTTACACTAGAAGATGACATGAGGAGCAACTAATCAGAACTCATTTTGCCCACTAGTGAAAAAATTGACTTTGTTTTGAAATCATACAGTTTTTAATAAGTTCTATAAGTTCCTGATTTCAGATTTCTTCAAAATGCATTTAATTTTAATGTATTAGAATGCATTTTCAAGAAATCTGTAAGCAGGAACTTGTAGAACATATTAAAACCTACATGATTTCATATCAAACTCATTTTTTTCCACCAGTGGACAATATGTATTTTGATTACTTGCTCCTCACATCTAGTGTTCAGGCCTAATGTCTTCACAGATTGTTGCTGGGTGTCTCATATTAAGAAAATACTCAGGATAAAATATAATTTTTTAATTTGAAAATATTTAACTGTCAATCATTCTCAATGTCAAAATGTCAATATGATAGTCTTTCACCATTATAAATAATTAAATCAAAATTTCAGAGTTCCATTACATTTAGAAAGACAACAATAACAAAGCAAATATACAGTAGATGGGTATATTTTACTTCGTATAAATTAACTTCTCTTTTTTGTATTGCCCAATATTAGATTGTGCTAATAACGCTCGCAATAAGCAAATCTTGAGATTGTCACACACAATACTCAAATTTTGTAGTCAGGTTGCAGTCCATTCTTTCTTTAAAATGTTGATTTTGTAGGATTCAACAAATTTTTCCTAATCAAAATACTCAAGTCATCCAATTAGAAGTATCTCAAAGAGGTCCTCAAATCCATCTGAACTAGTTAAAAGAGATAAGTCACTTACCCTTGTGTACGATTATGCCAATCAGAAGCAACCAAGTTCGCAGTGCTGACTACAACCCTCACACTGCCATCTTCATAATGAAAAAGAGACATCTTCCTATAAAATATTAAAAAATACAATGGAGGTTTAAATAGAATGGATTTGATTCTTGGATAAGACCACTGATACTGACTGCAGAGTATTGGATCATCAAAGTGAAATCATGTGCTGCCAGAGCTTAAGTCTGGACACCCTTTTATTTTCTGAATATAAATGGGGTTGACTATTTATATTCATGGGGAATATAAATAGGGTTGAATTTTCAAAGCATGTCTTGAAAAATGTTTTGTTATTAACATATTTTGGGGTAAAATTTAATAGAAAAAATATTTCTCATCTTAACCAACCAATGATTTCCGGAACATTGGTGTTGATAAAGAATGTTATATTCTGAAAAAGATTCTAGGAGTGAAATGGTTTGGCACAACTCAACAAAATACACTTTTCTCTCTGGCGGGAAGCTCTCTCTTGACAATTTACATCATGAGATAGTGACAAATTATTTGAAGTTCATTAAACCCAGTACATACGTATGATGGTGCCCAAAAGGATGAGGTGTCTTTATTCTCACTGCAGTGATGTTGGGAGGCAGATTGTTCTTCTTTAGATCGTCTGAATCTTCTCCATGAAGAATGAGAAGGGGTTTATCGCTGAAAAAATTATAAGGAACTTATTCCCCCACAAAACATTTTTGAATTCAAAATGAGAAAGTAAAACCTAAGTAACACTAACTGGTTTTGTTGATTTAGTCAGTATCCTCCATTATCTATTAGTTTAAAAAAATTATTTTTAAGAAACAAAATTAATAAAATCATTAAACTTCCTATCATCATTATCAATGCATTAGTATCCATTAGTGGGGAAGGTATGGTAGTTTTGTGCATTCACTGCAAGACCTGTCCAGGGTGTTTCTGAAACCAAGCCAAAATATGAAGGTTTGTTTTTCAAATATAGTTTCGTGTTCTTAATCAGTGATCTCTGCAGCCCTTACATACAAATTTTCAAGCAAATCATGCCAAAGCTTCATATTTTGGTCAGTTTCTAAGCAATTGGGACCAGGGTATGTCGCTTCAGAAAGACACTAGGCAGGGAGAGCAAAGACAAGGCAAAACAGTCATGCCTTGCCACTGGTGCCCATGCTATTTCAATGCCAAATGAGATAGAGGCTGTTGCAAGGTTCATTATAGTATTGTTTGTTTGAATTCAGAGTAAACTTAAAATCTTTTAATTAGGTATAAAGGTTGTTGTTCCCTTCATTGGTTATAGGATTTAGTAAAATTCATGCATTCTATATGCTCATTCTACTCGTAAGCTTCAATGTCTTCACTGAGACAAATTATGTATTAATGTAACAAAATAAATTAAACAAATATTAATCCTTAAATTATGTAATACAAAGACTGATTGAAGAAAGGGTGTTTTTTCCAACGTAAATACAACCAATTGAAAACTGGAACACTTGTGTGTGCCCTATAATCTTGTCACTTACGATCAACGATCTTTCATATTTTAGTCTTTATTTCTATACATACAAAAGAAAAGCAGATTCAACAGTACTCACTCCACTCCTTGATGTTTATAATGATGCATAACCCAGGGTAGCTCAACTAAAAAGTTAATTTGAAGTGAAGCCCGAAGATCTCCTAAACCAGGATCCAAAAGTTCCCGAAATGTGATTGAGAAAGGTTCATGGTATGTTCTAGGTTCTGCACGTACTTTGGTTAGAAAAAAAAAATAGGGAGCAGCTGCAGCAATACGTGAGGGAATATCAGAACTGAAAGGACTCTTCGAACTTTTCTCTGCTTCAGCCATAGATTTGCGTTTTAGGTCTCTACACTTCTGTTTCATGTTCCTAAAATTGTCAAATCTTCTACTATCAGACTGAGAAGAAAATGATGATGTGCCTGCTCTTTCATTTGAGGTTTCAGATCGGGCTGAAGAGGATTCGGATACAGAATCACTTCTTGCACTGTCAGGTCTACTCAACTGACTTGAAGAATTAGATGAATTGGAAAACTTATTTGCTTTTTCAAGTGATGACACATTTGGCAGAATTTTAGTTTTCAACGAAGATTCTGAAGCATTACTTTGCTCTGAAGATTTAGCTGACACGTTACAAGAGGCTGTTTCTAATTTACTTTTCTTGACTGGTGGTTTTTCTGCAACTGCAGTTCAAACATTTATTAGAATAAAACACACATATATACATGTAAAACTTGTAATGTAATAACAATTGTAACAATGAACCAGGTGACATGTGCAGTAGAGCCCCTCTCAATTAAGTCACTTGTGGTTCCATGCAAATGGGTCTAATTTAGAGTTTTATTCAGAATATATTGAGCTGAAATGTAGTATACGGTACAACCTAGGGAGTCGTTTAAACCGGCACTTCGGGCCATTCCGGCATTAACTAGGCAGTTAGAATTCTGGAGGCTTTCTTGAAAAGTGATGTCTTATAAAAGTGAAATGGTAATTATGCGTTAGATAGACTCAAGGATGTTTATAGTGAACACAAGGGCTGAAGGCCCAAGCCTCGCCATGACTTGGATCTGGGCGAGCGAAGCAAGAAAATATGCCTTTGAAAGTAAATAGGCATTACAATGCTGCGGCGACAAACCATATGAAGGGCGAACCATGAAAATCGCCTATCCATAAGTTTTATTCATTTCTATTAGAGCATGTACAGTAATTAGGGCTTAAGCCCCGCCGCCACGCTTCTCTAACGGTGTACCGTATAGTAAATTTTAACCATATATTGTTGATTTTAACCACATATTGTTGTCTAGTAATTACTTATCATTAAAGAAACATCTCAATGTAGCTGGCTGACAGAGAAGGGTTAGAGGACCAACTGACAGTTTTATTTTATTTTTTTATTTTTTGTGAGTAATATACTTACGTTTCTCATAAATTCTTTTCAGTACATTCAACTGATCCAAAATCAATTCTTTATCTACATTAGGCTTGTAATTTTCAGGTAGTTCCAAACTACTGGAACTTTTTTGTCCTTGTAGAAGGTCTTCCACTAACGCACATAAAAAAATTGTCACCATAAGGCACTAGAATTGAATTGTTAAATGATGTTCACAACATAATCTAGCTCTGAATAATTATAAAAACCTAAGCCAAAGAAAATTATGAAAGTTGTATACATATACATACAGTGAGGATGACAGTATTCTCGAAGATGGATGGGATTCCTACGGTAACACCCATTTCCATAATTACAATTAGGTCGCTTGTTAGGTGGAATATCCATAGGACCAGTTGGAATCCCTGAGACACACAATATTGAGATAATAACTACATACATAAAAGCACTTAAAACAAAACATTTAAGCTACAAAATAAAAGTACACTAATTTTTAAGAAAACATAACAAGCTATTCCAACTTTCGGAAAGGTTTGTTCAAGAATTTGTAATTGTCACATTACAAATTTTCTCACAATAATCCAAGATTATTAAACTACAGTTAATGTAGACCCTGAAAACAAAAAAGACAAAGGTTTCAGAAAAATGTATTATTCTGTATGGTTTGGAGAGCACTTGATCTGTCAATCAACAAAGTGTTACGGTTACCTAATATGACACTAGGATTTCAAAAATATACTTTTCTAACTGATTTGTTGGTCTCTTTAGTAACCATTTTGCCCTCATTTTCAGTGTCTACACAATAATGTTTTTCAACAGCATGCAAAGTTTGAATGAAGAAGAAATCTGCATTAATCACTTTGACTCTGTCTTCTCTAACCTATCGTCTGACGAACCATTGAACCATCAACATTTTTCTTCATTTCTCGCCTCTGATAATGGTGACAGATATGTTTAACTTGATTACAATAACTAAAATGAGGTAATTCAAATGCCACAAGGAATGCAGAGCACATACGAATGAATCACACTAAAATATTTACAATTATTTTAGAGATTTGCATGTACACAGTAAAACAAATACCCGGTTAGATGGGATTATTAAGTTGAAAGCTATCTCTTTCCATCACACTCCCATGTAAATGAAATGTAAATCATTCAAGATGTTGCTCTGTCGCGGGTGTCATCAGCGTTATCAGGCAAGTGTAGCACGACGCGCGGTGCGGCCTGGTGCTTGCATTCTATAAAGTTGGTAACGCATTATGTTATTAGTTGGTACTGTTGCATGTGCTTTTCGTGGACATTTCAAACCGAAGATACGCAATCCCAATGAGGACGACTTACTGAAGAGAATTACTTTTTTTTTATGAATGTATTTACCGGTCTGGATGGCTAAGATGGTTTGTGTTTGTGCATTGTTTATTGCTGATATTATCATCAGATCCATTATGTTTGTTTGTTTGTTTTTCTTCCTCTTTCTTTTCTATACCAAAGTCAGATCAGTTGTATGGAAGTAAAAAAAATCGACAAATCTAAGTCACTTATTCAGTGGCAATGTCATCGAAACCTGCATATTCGATGGATATTACAATGCTAATTACCTCGATCTCACTTACTTTTCAAAGTTTATTTTCAAGTGTAAGTGTCATATTTATGGGTATACTTCCTACAATAAGCTAATTGACAAAGATATTTTGAGATGAAAATAGCTCTTCTATTTTTTTATTCAACAAAAGTAACAAAGAACAGCTCGCAAAGCACTTCTTCAGCGGTCTATGTTTGCGGTTACCGGTCTACGTTTAGAAAGGCATCGTTTTCCATGTCCTCTTCAGATCCAAACGCTCAGGAAATAACTTTCTAATAATATTCCTACCAGACTACTACTGCACTATTCTTATTACGAAAGTATTATCCACACGTGAGTTATGTTGCTTGCACAGACATGAGCAGCCTAGAAGAAGAGGGGACCAACAATATTTCTAGATTTCCTTACCCTTTATAATTTATTTTACATTACTTGAACAACAATTTCCAGACCATTTTCGAATTTTTCAATGTATTTTGAGGCATTTATAGGGAGATATCGACTTTGCCTTGGGCCTCTTTTTCGACATAGTTACGTACATTTCTTGGTGTTTGCTGTTTTCAGCTGATTTTTGACGCATGTTTAGCGATTTCTATGAGATGACTCCAGTTTAAATTGGCCACCTGTCAAGGGTAGATTCAAAAGTTTCTTCCCATTTTTGGTCAGAATTTGTCCTTCACTCTATAGGTACGCAATTTCTAGTATTTAATTGTTTTGGGAAATTTTGAAATTTTCTCTTATATTTCACTCCACTCTTTCCATTTAATAAACAGTCAAACCTGGTTGAGTGAGAACTGGATAAGTGAGAATGCTCTACAAGTAAGAGTAATTGCCGAGTTGCGTCATTTTAACCCCCTTGCATTTTAACGCAACCCCAAGAAAATCATAAGAGAAAGTCGTTTTTCCCTCCATAACTGGGACTGCTACTTATCTTTACCTCTATAAGCAACAGTCGAGCATTTTAGCATTTGCTATTTATGATCTATTCTTAAATTTCGCGAAAATAAGAGCTGTTTTTATGTTTTTAAATGTCGTGCAACTAACATCGTTTTTGTATCGCATTCTATTCGATGGCGAAAAGCATGCATACCGGCATATTGTTAAACTTACTATTGTTGATAAGTATCAATTGCAAAAACAGGTTCGAGGGGTACTCAAAATATTAAAACGGTGCTTTCTGAGTTAATGCTGTATAAATTGTTTTATTTATTAACCTGAAACGTGGTTTAATCCCTACTCGGACGCAATATTTAAAAACAAAATATTGAATCTAATTAAATCTAAAACTAAATCAAAGTGTTGTCGTTAATCAATAAACTTGAAGTAGTAGTAAATGTAAAGTAGTTCAAAAACGATAAACCGCGCAATGAAATATAGTCAGTTTGGTTTACCAGAATCCATCTTTTATGAAATTATAAAACCAAATGTTTCTATAAAGTCTCTGTGTACCGAGAAAATATTAAGGACTAGCTGAAGGTCCCCGCGTTGCTGGGGTATTTATCGTAACATTTTTTTATTCAACAGAAAGGGAAATTCCATCTCTTCCCGCCCTGTGGCGGAGCCTACTTCTATTGCCCCTCCTCTCCGCTCTGCCCCGCCGCCTCTCTGCCTGCTCCAACATGGAAATACCCGGTCTTCCGCACACACAACACTTTCTCACTAAAAGATATTTAAATTGTATTCCTACTAGGGTTCCCACCCCCAGACTTCTTAAATAACTTATAACTCAAAATAATAAACAAATCTAAAAAAAAAAATAAAATGCATATTCTCACGTATAATCTTTTTTGGAATTTTATGTATTATATCAATACTTTCAATCAATTGCCACATCATAAAACTTACTCTTTTTCATATTTTTTCTACACACGTATTTATAAAGAAAAGTCTGAAATTCATCTTGCTGCGTCAATCGACGTTTAAAAAGAATCCAAGTAATTTTAATCGAATTTAAATACGTATTTTAGTATCCTTGAAAAATAGTGGCTAACGGAGTAGCTAAAGTAGCCATTAACCACTTCGAAAGTTATAAAATTTAAAAAAATCCGAGATCACAGTTGATCCCGGTTTGACAAATCTATTTCTATTATCTAAAATAACAACCTTGAAAACCATAATTGATTATTGGAAGTTAACGTATTTTCGTCTTTATATGTTAGTATAGATGTCTAGTATTATTCGCGCACGTTTTCTTGAGACCACGCTTCACTAGTTGCGAGAGGAGTGAGGAGTTTGGCATTTTTCACAAAAGGAATTTTACATCAAACTCATGCGTTCGTTTTCCCATGCAAAATCGTTTCTATTGCACAGGAGCGAACATTTCAGGTTATTAGACTTTGCCTAAATCGCTCATTGCTCTCATGTATTCTTAATTCAACTAATGTTGGCAAAGGAGTGGGGGTAGGAATTCTAGAGCTCAAGACACATGTGCTCAGGAAAAGATGCTCAAAGAGTTCTAATTGTCGTTGAGTGAGATAATAAAGAAATGTTGGTTGCCTAGTTCTAATAATGAATGAGAACCCAAAGCGAGAATCATACCACTAGACCAACGAGACGCCAGCTTTCGCTTCCACGCTCTCGATGATGGTGGAAGAGCAGTGCAAGCCGCAATGCGTATTTATATTACGCTGACTGAAACGTGTTTATTTTTGTCAATTAAATAGGGAGTTTTGGGCTCGTTCGGGATTTGAACCCGGGACCTCACGCACCGAAAGCGAGAATCATACCCCTAGACACACGAGCCGCCAGCTTTTGCTTCCATGCTCTCGATGATGGTGGAAAAGCAGTGCAAGCCTCACTGCGTTGCCCGAGAGGTCCCGGTTCAAATCCGGACGAGCCCAAAATGCTCTTTTTAATTAACAAAAATAAACACGTTTCAGTCAGCGTAATATAAAAACGCATTGCGGGTTGCCACTGCCTCTTCCACCATCATAAAGCAGCATGGAAGCCTGGTCAAAAGCAAGCGCTCGTTGGTCTAGGAGTATGATTCTCGTTTGGTGCGAGAGGACCCGGTTCAAATCCCGGACGAGCCCAAATGCTCTTTTAATTCACAAAAATAAACAGTTTCAGTCAGCTAATATAAAAACTCATTGCAGCTTGCACTGCTCTTCCACCATCATCGAGAGCATGGAAGCGAAAGCTGGCGACTCGTTAGTCTTGGGTATGATTCTCGCTTTGGGTGCGAGAGTCCGGGTTCTAATCCCGGACGAGCCCAAAATGCTCTTTTTATCACAAAAATAAAAACACGATTCAGTCAAGCGTAATACAAAAACGCATTGCGGCTTGCACTGCTTTCACCATCATCGGAGAGATGATGCTGAATCAAAGCAAGCGCTCGTTGGTCTAGGAGTATGATTCTGCTTTGGGTGCGAGAGGACCCGGTTTCAAATCCCGACGAGCCCAAAATGCTCTTTTTAATTAACAAAAATAAACGATTCAGTCAAAGTAATATAAAAACGCATTGCGGCTTGCACTGCTCTTCCACCATCATCGAGAGCATGGAAAGCGAAAGCTGGCGGATCGTTGTCTAGGGTATGGTTCTCGCTTTGGGTGCGAGAGGTCCGGTTCAAATCCCGGACGAGCCCAAGATGCCCTTTTAATCACAAAAATAAACACGTTTCAGTCAGCGTAATATGA